TTTCTTTATCTTTTGCAAAAACAAAAAACGCAAATTATGTAAATCCATTTCTTTATGTTTTCCTGTTTTGCATAGATTTTACTTTTATATTTATCAGCTATTTCATTCTTTCCTTTCTTTTTTTTTTTGTATTTTATTATTACTATTATTTTCAAAATATTTTAACACTACTTTAATATTTTACAAATATTTACTACTGATTTATTTATATATTTACTTCATTCTTTTTATATGTTTTACTGATATTTTTTAGGTATTTTATCAAAAATGTTTTCCTAGACTGTCACTGAGATTCTTCTCCAGTATGTGGTCGTTTACAAACATTTTTATAAACATAAACTTACATTTTTATGTTTTTCTGATATTTTTCTTCACTTGGGGCAAATTATAGATTTATCAGATATTTACATATTTATTATGCATATTTATTCATATCTGCAATAATTTAAACTTTAATCTTACATTTTTTTCATATTTTCAGATAATATCTTTATTTGTATTTTTTGGTCATTCTAATATTTATTACACTTCATATTATCTGTTAATATTTTCTGAGATATTTCTGGTAATGCAAAATAACTGTTTTATGTTTAACTGTTATTTTTTTACGGGTATCTTTTGGTTATTTTATGATATTATACAAATATGCATAATCAGCTATGTATTATAATTTTATAAATATGAATATTAGTTCATCGTTTATTTTTTATTAAGATTATTAAACATTTTATGGACTTTTGGGGGCAATTTACTAACAATTGTATACATTTTTAAAATTTGCTATTTAAAAATAAATAAATAAAAAATCTTAAGAAATGTTACAGATTTGTGACATTTTTGATAAATATTCCATAGATCAAATTAAAGCATATTTGATTTTTGATGTATTTATATTTATGGTTTTATTGACGTTTGGGACGAGGATTTTTTTGGTATTTTATGGATTACTGATCAATGGCGGGTCTCCCAGCTGTTTCCTATGTGTAGCCCCCCCCCCTCAGTGTGGGTCAGTGATAAGAGATGATGATGACGATAACTGGACTCAGTGCATTAAAGCTTCGATCCAGGCCTTTCAGCGCCGCTACAGACACTCTGATTGGCTGACAGCCAGCAACTCGCTCTGACAGGAATCCAATGGTGTGTGTGTGTGAGTGTGTGTGTGTGTGTGTGTGTGTGAGAGAGAGTCGGTGTTAATGTGTAGCACAGCAGCATGGAGGTAATCAGCTGTTCTGAGAAATAAGAACTGAAGGAAGGAAGGAAGGAAGGAAGGAAAGAAGGAAAAAAAAGTTGAGTTCAGTGTCTTTGATTGTTAGTGTGATGAAAATTCTGACATTCAGAAAATAATGACAAAGATCAATCAATCAATCAATCAATACCACAACACAGCTTCCATCTTTTTTCTCTTTCCTTTCCTTTTTTCCCTCCTCATTCTGTTCCTTACTCTAATTGATCCACTCCCTTCTTCTGTTTANTGTGTGTGTGTGTGTGTGTGTGTGTGTGTGTGTGTGTGTGTGTGTGTGTGTGAGAGAGAGAGAGAGAGAGAGTTGGTGTTTATGTGTAGCACAGCAGCATGGAGGTAATCAGCTGTTCTGAGAAATAAGAACTGAAGGAAGGAAGGAAGGAAGGAAGGAAAAAAAAGTTGAGTTCAGTGTCTTTGATTGTTAGTGTGATGAAAATTCTGATATTCAGTAGATCAATCAATCAATCAATCAATCAATCAATCAATCAATCAATCAATCAATCAATCCTTCTGTAATGGAATAAGCAACTTTATCACAACACAGCTTCCATCTTTTTTCTCTTTCCTTTCCTTTTTTCCCTCCTCATTCTGTTCCTTACTCTAATTGATCCACTCCCTTCTTCTGTTTATCCAATTCTTCCTCTTCCTCCTTTTTTCTCCTAGTTCTCCTTCACCCACTTTGTCCTTCCTTTTCTTCTTTTTCAATCCACTTCCTCCTCTTCTTTCCTCTTTTTTTTTTTCTTCTTTTTTTCTTCTACTTCCTCCTCTTCCTTCCTCTTCCTTTTCTTCTTTTTATTCCACTTCTTCCTCCTCTTCTTTCCTCTTCTTCCTCCTCCTCTTCTTCTTCTTCTCCTTTTTTGTCCACTTCCTCCTCCTCCTATCCTCCTTCCTCTTCCTCTTCTTTTTTATTCAAATCATCCTCGTCCTTTTCTTCTTCTTCATCCACTTCCTCCTCCTTTCTTCCTCCTCCTCCTCCTCGTCCTTCGTCTTCTGCAGTTGTAGTACTTAATATTTGATTCACAGGGAGGTCACAGACAAATGAACAAGTACACAAATATACGCATCGACACACACACACATTAACGCACTCGTACACAGACACACAAACACAGCCTCACAGTGAGCGACGGCGGCGTCGAGGCCTCGGAGGCGTCATTAACTTGAGAAGGCTGTTGTGTCTGTCAGGACGTAATGAAAATAGAAGGAGGACACACACTGCAACGCACACACAGCACCCAGACAAACAACACATACGGTACACAACAAACACAAGAGCTGTGTGTGTGTGTGTCAGAGGTTTTAGTTTCAGTGAACTCTGTTTTTACTGTGTGTATGTTTGAACATGTACGTGTTTGTGTAACTGTGGTGTACTGTGTGTCTGTGTGTGTGTTGTGAAGTGTGTGTAACTGTTGTGTTGTGTGTGTTGTGTGTGCGTGTGTGATGGGCAGCTGCTAGCTCGCGGCGTCTCGCTGCTGCAGCTGAGCGAAGGAGACATTAACTAACTTCTGTTTTCTAATGGAGATTAATGAAGTCAGAGCAGGAACACACAGGCACACATATACACACTGTGAGACACACACACACACACTCACACACGCTCACAACGCTCACACACACACCTGTTAGGCTGATTATTTAAGGTTGAATCCTGAGAAGGAAAAAGACACAAAAGTGTTGACGCAAGTATGTGCACACACACACACACACACACACAGCATGTTGGCAGATTGTAACACAACACACACATGCTGCCATTCATTCACTGAACACACACACAACTCAGAACATAAAGGAACACATCCTACATATAAATCAGTCTTTGTGCTAAGCTAGACTAACAGCTTCTTTGTAATCTGGTCTTTGCTCAAAACTATGCTAGCTAATGCTAA